CCGGGAGCCCTCAGGCCGGGGCCGTGCGGGCAGAAACCCACGTACAGGGAAGAGAGCGTGCAGGGCAGGGCGGGAAGCCCACAGCTGTGCTCAGGTCCCCGACAGCCACCAGGGCAGCACCGGGCTGCAGGGGCCTCTGCGGGACCCGTCTCACGGAGTGGGACCTCTGTTTCCACCACACGTGGCGTGGCCACATGGAGCCCCAGGGAGGAGGGGCTCCTCAGAGGTCACAGGACTCAGTAGGGCTGCCGGGGCCATCTGGAGCCAAGGCCAGTGGGACCCCAAAGCCGCCCTCGCCAGAGCACCCGGCAAAACCATCCCAGGCTGCAAAAGGAGATTGTGTCTCTGCAGGTGCTCTCCCTTCTGAGCCCGCGCCTGCACACGGTGGCACGCCCCACGTCTGCTCTGGACGTCTCCTGGGCCCTCCCGCACACAACACGGGCAAAGATGAGCTCACCACTTCCTGGTGTGTCCATTGGAAGTGGTCCCGTCTCAGGAAGCAGACAAGCATCCACGCAGAGGACCACGCAAGAAAGGGCGTCCTCACCCCATGCTTCCCTCACCCACGTGTTCTCAAACACCACGTCCCGGGAACTCCAGCCAGGTACCCCAGTCGGTACTCGCCCTGTCCACAGCCAGCAACCTCAGTGACAGCACTGTCCCCAGCCATGTGCCCACGCTCATCCATGTCTGTCCTCACCCGTGACACTGTCCTCACCCACATCTCCCACCTCACCCATGTTCCACATTCTCCTCCACATCTGTCCTCATTCCTGCCGCCAACTTCGCCCATCCCACCCTCCAGATGGCCCACGTGCTCCCTGCCCCTCCCCCTCATCCACTCCCACCCCACATTCCTCCAGCAAAGCCTACGAGTCTTACAAAATGCGAATGTGCCTCCACAGCGGTTTTCTCGGTGCTCAAACTCCCTGTGCACAGAAACGATGCCGCACGGTGAGTGGGGAACGAGACGGCTTCCTGGGAGCTGCAGCTCAGCGCCACCCCCATCGCTGCCGGGGTGCTGCTCGCGCAGCTCCACACAGGAGACACCGTGGACGGTGAACGATGACAGGTGAGACTGCTGTGTGTCACTGACCCACCCACACTCACGGCTCAGGGAGATGAAGACTGGCTCGTGCGACGGTTAGCGCCCCCCCCCCCCCGTCTCCCGTCACCTGGGGCCGCCGCCTCGGCTTAAACGGAGCTGGGCCACGAGGCACTTGCTCTTCGGCCGGGAGCCCCTCCCGTGTTGCCTGCTGGTTCTCCTGTGGCCCCGTGGGCCCCTGGCCACGGGGTGGGCTGTTCTCGGTCCTGTGGGGTCAGCCCTGCCCGCACCTCTGTGCTGTGGGGTCCACACCCACCTACTCCCTCCCTCCCCTGCACCTGCCCAGCTGGACCCTGACCTGCCCCGGTGCAGCTGTTTCACGTCTGTCCGGCTCCCTCGTCCTACCCCAATCTCTTATCGCGGAGGGCGTGTGGAGCCGGAGCAGGTCTGGGGCACGCAACAGCCGGGACCAGCCTGCAGCTCCCCCCAAGTGACTCTCGGGGTGGGGAGAGGACGGTGAGAGGACGGCGCCGTGTGGGGGCTGACCCTGCGCCAGAGGCCTCCCCGCCCTCCCCGCACCCAGGCCTCCTAGCCACACCAGGTCCTGCCGACGCCACCAGTGCCGCGAGACCCAAGCCTAGCCCCTCACGGTAGACGCGGAAGACGAATTTTCCACGTGGCGAAGTCCGGCTCTAAACTTGGCCTTCGCTGACCGTTCTGCACGTCCCTGGCTTATTGGGCTTCACGTCTGCGCTGCGTGACTCACGCCTTTCTCACCTCCAGCTGCCGGGGGCCACCGATCACAGCCCGCTTCTCCGTGGAGCTCTGTCTAGCCACGCTCCCTCCCCTGAGCACCCAGACACGGCATCCACGTCCCAGATGTGCCATCCACTTCCCAGATGTGCCGTCCACTTCCCAGGTGTGCCGTCCACTTCCCAGATGTGCCGTCCACGTCCCAGAAGTGCCGTCCACTTCCCAGATGTGCCGTCCACTTCCCAGATGTGCCGTCCACGTCCCAGATGTGCCGTCCACGTCCCAGGTGTGCCGTCCACGTCCCAGGTGTGCCGTCCACGTCCCAGATGTGCCGTCCACTTCCCAGGTGTGCCGTCCACGTCCCAGATGTGCCGTCCACGTACCAGGTGTGCCGTCCACATCCCAGGTGTGCTGTCCACGTCCCAGATGTGCCGCCCACTTCCCAGATGTGCCATCCACGTGCCAGACGTGGCATCTACTTCCCAGACACGGCATCTACTTCCCAGACATGGCACCCACGTCCCAGATGTGCCGCCCACTTCCCAGATGTGCCTTCCACTTCCCAGATGTGCTGTCCACTTCCCAGATGTGCCATCCACTTCCCAGAGATGGCATCTACTTCCCAGACATGGCACCTACTTCCCAGACATGGCACCCACGTCCCAGAGGTGCCGCCCACGTCCCAGACGTGCCCCTTGCGGGAGCCAATACACAGCTGTTGAGTTTCAGGCAGTGCATCCTGCTCCTGCCGCCCACCCCGTGTGCCGGCTGCGTGCAGGGCAATGTCCCTGCAGCCCTCCCGAATCACGTCTGCCCCGACAGTGACCCCAGGTCACTTGCGAGACGCTGTTAAGGCCCCAGGCCATCTCTAGAACTAGACACCACAAGGAATGCCTTCTGGGTTCCACGTTCTTCCTCGTTAACCTGAGCATCCATTCCCCTCTGGCCGCCGTGCTCCATGGGGGCCCCCACCATGGCGTGTGCTGGACACTCTCCCGGGCGGACGGGGCAACCCCCACCCTGTCATGTGCTGGACACTCTCCCCGGCGGATGGGGGCTCGTGCGCAACACGTGGGCGTTTCTGCTGCCCGACCGTGTGAGCCCCATGGTCGCAACCTTACGTTTTATAGCCATTTTCCTACATGCACCAGGTGCATTCATAACACCACGGAAACATCCAAAGTATAAAGGGAACTAATTTTTTTGAAGTTATGCCTGTGTGTTAGCAATTCTGCACACACACAACCAGAACCTCGTGGCGTGCACAGCCTCACGGGTGGCATAAAAGCATTGGTGCTGGTTTGCAAACTCAGGCATTTGGGAAGTTGTTGATACGCGAGCTGACCTTCATTTCACATGTAATCCTCCCCTTGACGCAACACCTGGTACGTGACGCGAACGTTCTCGAAATGACCAAGAAACTAGATTTCAAATAATCAACCTCGTTTGTTCTAGAAAGCAACACAATGAATGAAAGGCCGTGGTCTGTGAGCGTTCTGTCACAGTTAAAAAAAAAAAAAAAGGCTGCACCGCGTCCCATCGTGCCCCAGTCGCAGCGTGCTTAAGTCCCAGCACATCTAGTCCCCGGCAACCCCTCACAGCGCTGGAATCGCGAGCTGGGCGCGGTCTGTCCGCGCATTCCTGATGAAACCCTCATCGCTGACTGGGCCTAAATGCGTCCAGCGGTGGCTTACGTTGCGGACCTGGGGCAAGGACATCAGAAGCTGCCAAGGGAAGGAGAGAGCCCGCAGCCCTCGAGGGGCCGAAGGCGTTCGCTCCGACACCCTCTCCCTCCCGGGTGGCAGCCTTCAGAATGAACCCCCCATGTCCTCGAGGGACCACACTGGACCGCTCGACCGGAGCAGGGAGGCTGGGCGCGCGGCCAGGCGGCGTCCGGCACCACACACCCTCACGTGCAGAGAAGCCCGGCTCTGTCGGGTCTCAGGAGTTCAGCTCGACTTTGCAAAGAATTCCAGTTTAACTCAAAACTCTCAGCCCCCAGCGGCAAGTAAGAGTCACCGGAAGCACAGAGACGTCCCTTGCGCACATCCGCCGGCAACCAGAAGAGCCGAGGCCTGTGTTGATTCCGTCGCATAGGCGCGGCGGCTGTTTTGTTGCGTGTGTTCTGCCACCGGGTACCGACGCTTCAAGCTAACAGGACACCAACACAGTGAGGCCTCCATCAACGAGAACCAGACCTCTAAATCAACCAGGGTATTTTGCTGCATTTTATATTGGGGAAAAAATGATATGAATTTCAGCAAAACATTAATATATTTAGCAACATAGAGGGCTGGCTAAAACAGCCGTTTCCGTCCTTGTCCGGGGTCAGCGCCTCCCGCTGCGTGTCCCATAAATAACCACAAACCTCGAGAGCCCCCGCCGCTGAGCCATCCGAGTCCTGGAAGCCATCACGCCAAGGACCTCTGTCTTCCGTAAAGTGCTCTGCTCAATTTCCTGCCCAGGAGCGAACACTGGACAGCGCACTTTACCAGAGTTTTCAATGAGCCGAAAAAAGAGCCCTCACTCAGGTTTAGAAAAATGCAAAACCCGCGTCCCCCGCCCCACTGCGCTCCTCACGTCCCCGGGCAGCGGAGCTCCGTGTCTTCACGCCAGGACACGCCCAGTCACGTGACAAGGCCACCCAGCTCTATCGGTAATGGTCTCACAGACGTGTGCGAACGTGCGGAAACCTGGGCCCTGCGAGGCAAAACCGCCCACAGCGCGCTCCACCTTCACGGAAACCTTCCCGCCGCCGTGCGGGACCCGTGGGCGGGAGGAGGAAGGGCCGGCTCCCGCTCCCATCTGGTGAGAACGAGAGACCTCAGCGCAAAGCCGCACTTGCTCCATTCACACCGCGGCTGCCACAGACACCGACCCCTGCGTGTCCCAGAGCCAGACTGTCAAACACAGCCCGTGTCTGTGCCTCCCGTCTGAAGCCCGGTGCACGCGTGGCGGCCGCCCAGGCCCTCTCCAGACAGCAAGACCCCAAGGTGCCCAGCGGCTGTGAGGCCACCCTCAGCCTCCCCTCCCGGCCTCCTCCGCTAAACACCAGCTCGCAGGAAATGGTGGACTCTCTCCTGGGCTGTCCCAGAGCACACGTGTCTCTGCCCTGACAATGGGGTGTGCACACGTGTGTGCGTGTGTGTGTGCGCGCGTACGCGTGTGTATGCGTGTGACACGTGTGTGGAAACAGCCTTACCTGCGGCCTTTGCGGCGTCTGTGGTTGTCACGTTCTGGGCGTTTTCGCTCACCCTGAAGGTCACTGCTGCTCCCAGAACACTGGAAGAGATCATCGAAAAATGAGTCACAACCGAGTCAACATACCGGGTGCCTCTCTGAAGCCACATGGAAACACAGATATGTTTATGAAAACACATGCGCCAGGGCCGCCGTCTGCACGGGGTTGGGGGGTGACCCTGCTGGGTGCTGGTTTCTTTGACACCGAGACCCGAGTCACATCTCCGGTCAGTCTGTCACAGGCCGCGCTTCTCTGAAGCACAGGTTGCGGCCGGCTGTGGCCTTATCTCCAGACCATCCACATCGACCCCGACAGCCCGCCACGGCGGGCAGACCTCTCGCCAGAGAAAGAGAAACTGTCATGGGGACAGATTTCAGCGTTGGTTCCGGGGCAGCGGCAGATCGGGAGCGGAGCAAAAGGGACGGGTGCCGCTTAGATTCTCTTGACGGGAACCATCTAGAAACCTGCCACGGTCGTTAGTAACCGTTCTGCATGAGAGTGGCTGGCAGGGAACTGCCACACAACCAGAACTGTCTGAAGCTTTTTAAGGACTGTTCCATGCACAAGTTTGAGAAATACATCACTCTCTTAGCCATCCAGCTCATCCGAAGGCCCCGCGTGCTGTGGGAACTCGATACCGCACCACAGCGATCTCAAGACGCCTCCGGAGCTCAGGGGCGTTTCTAAAGACAGACCAACCCGCGTCCACGACAGCCATGGACGGCTCCGACGGGATCGCCCTGCAAGTACCTCCTGGGGGTGAATCTCCCTAACACTCGAGGAACGGGAGCGGGGCCACCTCTGGGGGAAGAGGGCGGCTGGGGACGTGACTCCTGGTTCTGGGACGTGCCCGTGTTCCCCTCCGAGCCGTCCAACGCGCGCCCGCCTGTGGGCACCACGCACCTCTGTTTCTTCAGAAACCCCTGGGAAATTCACCCCGTCCACCCTCTTTCTTGAGAGTGGGCAGTTTGGCCCCAGCTGCGTGACCTCCTGTAACCTGAATATGCACACGCTCTTCCCCAAAGCCTGCCGCCCCAACATGTGACATGCACAAAGGTCTTTGCGCCAAGGTCCCGCAAGTCTGATTCTGGAGGGTCAGAGGTTCTGTGCCGCTGCTAGGCCTCTTAGCCTCGCTAGGCCTCGGATTACTCAGCTGTAAAGGGGGCATGGCCCACCGGTCACCCTGGACAGCTCTGGCCAAGGTGACTCTGGTTTACCTACCACAAAGCTCACGTAAAGCCACCTGGATGGTGACCTTGCTGCCGGGCGGTGTCCTGGGGACAGGAAGGAGGGAGGCTGAGGGCAGGGACCGTGGCCTGGCCCCCGCCAGCCACCCAGCCGTCCTTGCCACAAACCCCACTGCCGTCCCGCCTGCCCCCGGACCCAGAACCAGGACCACTGGAGACGTGGACTTCCCCACGGAGGCCGTCCAAGACAAAGCACTCCACGGGCAGACGCCAGGGACCGCAGCACCTGTGGGTCCACAGCCTGGAAGTGGCAGACCCCAAACAAAGCAAGAATGTACGTGACAAATATTTACAAGCGTGCTCAAGCGGGGACTTGACCCTCCACAGTAGCAAGTACCACGCAAAGGAGGCCACGGCCCACGGCAAAAACGCACAGCTCCTTAAAGCAGCTGCCAAAAAGGGACTCGTTCCCCTTCTTGTTTAGTCTTATGACTCTTGGAGCCAATTTTAAGTCTATTTGTCTTTATTTTGCAATAAACTCTGGTGCTTCTGACGCAGGGCTGTCTGCGAATAGCTGGATGGAGGCGGCTGCCCCAGAGCCCTGACGACGTACGGTTACAGGTGCCTCCCTCCAGACAGCGGCCCCGTCCAGCCGGGGACACGCCACAGACCAACCAGGACGAGAAACACCTTCTCACTGCTGCTGGGAAAATGCTTACGATATTAGATACAGGAACATGCCTGATACAATAGCAGGAGATAACATTTGGGGGTTTCGACATTCGAGACTGAATGGCTCATATGTCAGGGTGCGTGCTGAGGCCCCTCACCTCGCTTTGGCTGGATTATCTTCCAGAAAAAGGTAGGCAAAGCATGAAGGTGTGTGCAGAGGACGCTCTCTACGCAAACAGTGCCGTCTGCTAAATGTGCTGCTTGCAACTCACAGACAACCTCCCGCCCCAGCGGATGTCAGCTCTGCCATGTATTTATTTCCATAATGTTGCCTTCGGCCACAAAGCCTCCTCTCCTCTCAGGCATTTGCAACACGCTGCAAATTGCCACCCTCTCTCCTTTGTTCTCCTCGCAGGAGTCAGGTAATTGCAGGGTCCACAGAAGCGACTGGAAGGCAGGAGGCTGAAGGCTGTGCCACGCCCCGGCCCTTCCAAGGCCACGTCCTCCCCGTCTCCGAGGTGGACACGGGGCACCCCTTCCAGACAGGAAAGGGAAGGTCGACAGGGACCCAGACGGCGGCCAGTGGATGGCTGCGTGCACACGCTCTCCACAGCCCAGACACTGAGCGCAGGTAAGAGTCTGAGTCCCCCAGAGCGACGCTCTCAGGGGGCCTTCGCCTGCTCCGCCCCCTGCCTCCCAGCTGCCGCATTCGTGCAACGCTGGGGAGGAGCAGGTGCAAGCTCCGGCACACGCGCGTGCAAAACAATTCCAGGGGCAGGGGCGGTGCCTGCTCTGTGCACGGTGTCAGTGCCTGAGGGCCACCCCCGGCACAGCGCGGGGACAACAGAGGCTCCGTCAACACCTGCAGCAGGACAGAGGCAGGAAAATGCCGGGACAGCCCGAACAGCGACCAGGGTGCCCGGTACAGACGCTGCCTGTTCCTCTCCCAGCTGCGCCCTTGCCTGTCGGCTCTGAAGCATCCTGGGCTGGGTGTGGGCTCTCGTTTTTAACTGTGACGTATTAAAGGGCAAATACAAAGCGCGGGCCCTGAAGAAGCTCCCAGTTGAGGGTGTGGACACAGCACAGCCCACTGGCGCGGGCCCAGGCGATGGTTCATCATTAGCGCGTCACATCAAGGCGCTGCGTGGACTCATGCCAAGAGGGTGAGCACTCGCGGATTGTGCTTGGAGCAGCCCCACGGCAGGATGAGGCCACCACGGACAACACACAAGAAACGCGAGAATGAACGATGCCACCACCCAGGTGAGCACATGGCACACAGCGCCCAGCGCACCACGGCACGTCTGCCATTTCGACAGCTCGTGCCCCCCGGGAAGAGACGAGGACTTGAAGTGAGTGGCAGCCCTGGACCCCAGGAGGAGGACTCTATCTCGAGTAGCTGAGCATCTTCCCGCCATTTCCACTACTTTCCCATTTTCTTTTTTTTCCCCTTCACTTTCAAGACCTGAATACAAAGTGAGGTGACTTTCTGGCACAGGTTGTCCGCCTTTACGGTGACTCTAACGCGGGCCTGGCGCAGCTTCTGCAACTCAGACCCATCAGGTGACACTCCCAGAATTCAGACCAAGTGGCCCCCACTGTAACCTGGGGCTCCCACGGAGGTCTCTCCTCCCAACACACTAAGGCAAAGGTAACCAGTCCAGTGAGTAAACACAGCGTCCGGTCATCGGAAGTTGACAACAACCAACTGAGAGCAATCGTCACAGCTGATCCACTCACAACTACACGAGCAGTTGCCGAAGACTCAACGTTGACCATTCTACAGTCGTTCGGCATTTGAAGCAAACTGGAAAGGTGAAAAAGCTCAATGAGGGGTGCTCAGGAACTTACCGAAAATGGAAAAATAGTTGTTTTAAAGCATTGTCTTCTCTTATTGTATACAACATCAAACCATTTCTCGATTGGATTGTGACGTGCAAAGAAAAGTGGATTTCATACAACAACCAGCGCTGACCAGCTCAGTGGTTGGACCGAGAAGAAACCCCAAAGCACTACCCAAAGCCAAACTTGCACCAAAAAAAGGTCATGGTCACTGTTTGGTGGTCTGCTACCGATCTGACCCACTACAGCTTCCTGTATCCCAACGAAACCATTATATCTCAGAAGGACGCTCAGCAAATCGATGAGATGCGCTGAAAACTGCAACACCTACGGCCGGCATTGTTCACCAGAAAAGAACCAATTCTTCTCCATGACAATGCCCAACCACACATCACACAACCGATGCTTCAAAAGTTGAACGAATTAAGCTATAAAGTTTTGCCTCATCCACTATATTCACCTGACCTCTTGCCAACTACCACTTCTTCAAGCATCTCGACAACTTTTTGCAGGAAAAAGCCACAACCAGCAGGATGCAGAAAATGCTTTCCAAGAGTTTGTCGAATGCCAAAGCACAGATTTTTACGCTACACAAATAAACTTATTTCCAGTTGGCAAAAATATGTTGATTGTAATGGCTGTTATTTTGATAAATAAAGATGTGTTTAAGCCTAGTTAAAATGATTTAAAAGTCAGGGTCCATTCTTGGGATACTTCACTTAATATAATGGGTTCCAGCTCTATCCAGGATAATACAAGAGGTGCGCTACATGTACTCACCATCAAGTTGGTTTTAACTGATCAACACTTAAGTGCACATATAGTAGCAACATTCACTGGGTGTCGGGCAGGTGGGAGTGGGGAGGAGGGGATTGGTATATTCACACCTAATGGGTATGGTTCGAACTGTCTGGGGGATGGACACGCTTGAAGCTCTGACTCGGGTGGGGCAAAGACAACATACATAACCTAAACATTTGTACCCCCGTAATATGCTGAAATAAAAAAGAAAAAACAAAACAAAACAAAAATCTTATTTCAGTTCCTGGACAAATAAGTAATCTCGGCTACTTATTTTGAAAGGTTTTACTAATTCTAGTTGGCCTGCAAGGATCAGGACCTAACATTTTCCCTACATTTACGTCGAGAAATCCCCACCACCACACACACACAAAGGTCATTCTCAATTTCCTTGTTGGATTCCAGCAAGTTCCCTCAAATTATGGCCCCTGAGGTGACTCCAAACAGCAGATCATCTCTTCATTGTCTCGCCAGGAAAACAGCCCTCCCCCAAAACATAAACACACAGGCACACTCATACTGACGTGAACACACACACA